TAATTGTCTACCACAAACCTCTGAGGTACTTCCTGTGCTTTTTCCTTACCAAAATGTGAAAGTAATCATTGTGAAGGTCAAGGGCCTCAAACCAGCCTGGAGGGTTAGGAGTCAGGATTAATCTCTCAGGAGAAAACCTTGCAGAATTGGATTTTCCTTATGTAATTGCTCAGTCATTCCAATTTCTAGAATTGGGTGCAGACCGCCATTCCTTCTTGAGAAAAGGAAACAACACTTCTATGGTTCTAGTTTAACAGGGCCAAGAGCTCATCCTCATCAGAAGGCTCCCTGAAAAAGAAAGGGGGCTTGAGCTTTCTCATTGTCATGAATGGGAAGAAGTACCCCCATACAGTGAGCTTTAGGGCTCAGCAAGCCAAACAAATTACTCAGATGCCTTTAAAAATAAAAAAGGGAGTTGTTCCCAAGGGCTGAGGTAAAAGAGGAAGAAGTTCAGGATCTGGGTCCTCCAAAGTTGCTCTGGGGTTCTCTGGGGCACACTCACACTTGCTGAACTAGACGCAGCACCAGCTCCGGCTGAGGTGGAAGATATTTTCCTCCTCTGATGGTTTCTTTTTTTAAATTTCACTTTAAAAAAGACCGTCTAGCCCTACTGCTGGTAGTCTGATTCCAGGAAGGACTGTTGAAATTGTCCCTTGTGAAATCTAAACTATTTCCTGCAAATAAAAGCTGACTCAAGCCCAGAGACATCTCCATGGACTTTGTGACCTTAATCCTTTCCAGAACCTCCGTCCCAGAGCGGAAAGATTGGTTCCTTTAAAAGGCAGGTCCATGACCTTGACTTGCATCTTGGTGGAGAGGAGAGTTTTGGAGCCAAGAGCGTTTCTTAAGGGACCCAAGCATGTTCAAAGTCCTAGTATAGTGCTGTCTGAGACATCAACGGACGCTTTGGGAGTATGCTTAGACACCTGGCCTTCCTTAAACAATACCACACACACAATCCCTGTATCTTCTCATAAAGAGAGCTGGTCAACATTTTTCATTCACAGCATTTTAAAAATAAAAAACAAAAATGGCCTCTCTTTGAAAGGAAAAGCTTTTTTAATATTGATTTTTAATCTTCCAGTTTTTTGTAAAAAACCCCCAAACATTTGAAGTTTCGGGGGGTTGTTTTTACCCTTTCCCTCCATTTTCCCCTTAATTCTTGAGCAATGGCTAGTATTTTCCCTACGTGCACTTTTTCATTTTTTCTTTTCCAAAGGTCAGAGAAGTTTACAAAAACAAAAACAAAACATTCATATACTTGTTCTCCGTGGCAACAATTTTTTTTTCAAAGATTTGAAATTAAAAAAAAAAATTGTGATCAAAATGGAAAGTGGTTCCATTTCAAACCCAGCAACACAAATTTCAAATTTGCTCATTAAATTGTTTTTCCATTTTTCTGCTCACAAATGTGCTGAGCTCAAGATCCTGCCTTTGATTAGGCAGGAAACTTATATCTGGCAATAGCTACCTTGGCAGCTGGCAGTTCATAGATTTTAAGACCAGGGAAACCACTGTGATAATCTAGCCTGACTTTCTGCATAACACAGGCCATAGGATTTCACCTAGTAATTCCTGCATCATGCCCATGTCTTCTGGCTGAGTTAGAGCACATCTTTTAGACTGACACTCCATCTTGATTTGAAGATTTAAAGTGACAGAGAATCTACCACATTCCTAGGCTTGTTGTGTCAGGCTTGTCTAGCAGTTAACCTTCCACCTTAACACATTCAGTTGTTTGAGCCTCTGGTCCCCAGAAGTAGATGACAACTTCCCAGCTTTAAATATTTCACTTGCAGCTGAAATCACAATTGAACTTGGGGTAGGATTCTGGAAAAACAATCCAAATCTTTCCCTGGGAACTGGTAGAAGGATCTAGGAGTCTGACAAATCAAGGCGCAGAGCCCAGATGGTGCCTGCCAAATCCTGGGAGGCTCTGGGGTCACACAGAGGAGGGAAAGGAGTAGTCATGGCAGTCTCATCAGTTGCTAAGGTACCACGGGCACCTTAGAGGATAGTCCTCACCAGTTCCTGCCTCTCAGAGTACCAATGTCCTGTGGATCAGCAGTGCTACTGGATGTGGAGTCAGAGAGAGGTCAGGTAGTCCCTAAGGAGACTGCCTTCTTTGGAGGAGACTTCCTGCAGAAGAGGAGATCTAGGTCTCCTCAATTCCTTACACTAAAGAAATCACAGATGCGGGAGGACCACAGGGCCAGACACAACAAGGGGTAGATACCCCTAAGGAGGAGATCCTGGGTAACTCTTTAACTGGGCTCTCCAAGGTGACAAGGTTCCAAAGATGTCGCTGTATTAAAATGAGGCTCCCCATGAGGAAGAACCATAGCTGACTGGTACAGAACAGTCTTTTCATAGACCTGGATATCATACCATACTGAACTCAGATCTCATGGGAGCAGAGAGCCCCCCAGACCGGAGGGTGGCACAGACTTGCCTCAGAACCACAACACCAAGGAGTCATCCACACATGGCTGGAGGAAGACCATTTTGGAGAGAGCCTCTCCGGAAATGATCCCACTGGGGAGAAGCAGCTGGGGCTTGGCACGGAGAATGGGGACATCCCTCGCACCGGAGCTCTGAGGGTGTGTATTTCTGTTGGAGTGGCCAGGTGAATCAAAATGATGCTCCGAAGCAGAGGATCATTCCAATCAACCCAGATCTAAGAGGTCCTTCCTTGTGAGAAACTCCTACGATCCAAGCAGGCAAATTACATCAGAGTTAACCTAGATCTAACTGCAGGATGCTTTCTGGAGCACTCCTCCTTTTTGCTATGAGGCTTACTGAACTCTCCTTCCAGGCCTGTCTAAGGAACCTGGAGCCTTAGCTGGGGGAACCAATCTGAGCAGTTCCTTGTGGGGCATCTTTTAATTTTGGACATTCTCTTTCTGCCTGTGTTCTCTCTCTTGGCTTCCACTCTAAGGGAGATTTCAAAGACACATTACACAGCCCTAGACACTCCTCCACAGAAGGTCTCCTAGAATACTGCACCTCCAAAGCCTATGGCAGCAAAAAGTTCTGCTGTTTTCTTTTTGGGTCCTTTTAGAAGGGCCCCTTACAAGCCATCACAGCATTTCCCCCAGGCATGAAAGGCACTTTTCGTGCTTTTATGGAGTAGGAAACATAGGACAAGAGGAGCATTATTTAAAGCCAGTCTTTCTGGTAGCGTTCTCTCTCTTGGGCAAACCCTGACAAAACAGTCAAGAAATTAGAAAGGAGAAGTATGCATTCCTAAAACTAATTATAAAAGTACAAATGCTGTGTGTCTTACATGACTGAAGGGAGAGGTTGGTTCTGTGACACTGTTTGGAAGGCAGAGGGACGGTTACTAGATGCAGGGTATTTGTGCTCTATGGAACTTAAGGCTAAGAGAGGAGCGTGCCCCTGACTTTCCACTACCGATCAAAACAGTTCTGTGGCCATTGAGCAGACTCATGACTCCTGCAATTGCGCTCTGGAGACATTACCATGGAACAGGACATACGGATACAGCACATTTACTTTCTGTGGTAGAAGACAGAAAAAATGTAAAGAAGTGACTAATGTGTATATTGATTCCCAGAGCACTGAACACTTCCCCTTTCTCCCAAGATTGATTGGAAGCATTAAGCAGCTGCAAGTTACTGTGATGTATATTTTGTTCATCCCAAGATGCACGTATCAATCATTCTATAAGACAAAACACAGATACCAGACAACACCACTCCAAGTAGAACCACCTAACTTTATAGGTGACAAAGAATTCCTGAAAGCTACATTGATATGACACAGCCAATTGGTGAGGATACTCTTTTCCAACCCATTTTCTTCTCTCCAAACGTTAAGGCATTCACACACCATAAAACCATCTTATGCCCTCCTCTGGGCTGCTGCTGGTGCCCTCTTTCAGAAGAGACACAGATACTGAAGTCCTCATCTGTCATGGTCAGCATTTCATGGCACTTTCTGCAAAAATTAGGGTGCTAATCACAGTGTCCTAGCAAGATTCCAATATAGATAATTACATTCTACCTCCCTAAAATCCCCAAGAAGTTCTAATTGGCTATGGTGTCCTTCAAGTCCTGTCCTAAACAACTGTGCAATGGTTTTGTGCACTGATAATTAAACAGTTACTGTGCTCCACCCCAGAAGCGGTGGCATATCAGCAGTAGACCAAAGCAATCCCTATCTGTAATAACTTGCATTATTTCTTAAGTGCATAAAGTGCTTTAAGGATCCATTAAGGTGAAAGTGGTAACATTATACAGCACCTATTACACCACAAAATGCTCACCCTTCCCAGTGCATAACAGGCTAAGATCTTTATCACTTCAAATTCTACCCCACTTGTTTTCCAGCATGTGACAGGCACATGTGCTCATTGAGGACTGACTGAATTGGAGTTAGAGGAGCCCATCTGGTTTTGAATGATCAGCTGACATAAAACAGCTATCATAAAATGCAGAACCACCTGGAGCTTTGGGCAGCTTGCTTGCCAGATTTTCTTCCAGCTTCCTAAAAATGTCACTTCTGGCCCAAGACTCAGCAAGAGAAGTTTCAGCCCAAAAGATTTCTTTTTAACCGAAAGTTACAAAGGGGTCAGCCATGAGGCTGAGAATCAAAAACGAGCCACAGCTACACAGTTTGGTTCTTGATCAGAACATCTCCTTAGTTCAGGTGTGTTCAGATCTAGGGTTTGAATGGCTTTCAAACACCTTAACCATGAGACTATGGGACTCCAAAGCCTCAGAGGCATCTCCGGAGAGATTCAGGGGAGGGGGCAGAGCACGCAGTCTCCCCTCTCTCAGGTTCCATCTTCTCCATGAGCAAGCAAGGGGCTTCTGTTCAAAATCATTACAGGCCAGGCACATCTGGCCACAACCCCCTGCATGAAAATTCCAGCCACCCAAACCTTCTGCTGACCTGTGGTTTACCTGATCACCAGGAAGCACCCCTTCCTGCCCAGCAAAGAGATAACCTGATCCATCTTCACCCATCAGACTTACCTTCCCAAACTGCTCAAAATACTGTTTCACATCCTCCACGGTAGTGTTCACAGAGAGACCCCCCACAAATATCTTCTTCGTCCGCGTTACCATCTGGGAAAGGGAAGGACAGGGATTCATAGGAGAAACAGAGTTAGCAGAGAACAAGATCTGTCTCCAAAACCTCATTTGTGAGCTGAAGAGCATGTAGTGCACTGTATCCCACTGGGAGACTGCCCGCACCAGTGGGACAGAGTCCCCTAACGAAACACTGTATCTACTGAAGGACATGTTTCAGGCCCCAGAAATTTCATCCTGTGAAACTCCATCACTCAAGTGCAATCTCAGACTCACCCAAGCATGCGCCATATTGCTGTCTCCTACCCTTTCCCTCCCTAGCCCCCAGCATGCACAAGCTCACTCACTGCCCGTGGGACTTGCCAGGGCACGGCCACTAATCTCCCATCTAACCCCCTGGGGACGGGTACAGCATATTAAAGTCTTTCCCCCACTAATCGTTCAGTCACCCACTTTCACAGAGTGCTGCCATCTCCTTCCCTACCCTCCCGTCACTCACATGGGGCACTGCTGTCACCCTGCCAATCCCCAGCTCACCCTCCCACCCTGCAGTTTCCCTGAAATGGGAAAGCAGAGCATGGCTATGATGCTGCGATGTGAAGCCATCAGGTTTAAGGAGCCAGAGGAAATGCCCAGTTAAGCTTTCTTGTGCATTTGGGAGGAGGCAAAGGAAGAAACCCTCCCCTTTCTCTTCCCCCAGCCACAGCAGACTGAGGAGGAATAACTGAGGGGGGCGATGGCTGCTAGGATGAAGCACACTGGTGTCCTTTGAACTGATGCTCCAGCTGCATCCTCCCCTCAGCCCCTTGGCCACACCCCTGCTCCAGCAGGAACACATGGTCCTAATAACCCCAAGGAGCATGGGGCTAATCCGCAGCAATTCCAGGCTTGGAGAGCAGCCTGTTCTAACACTAAAGCACCTTCTGTCACCAAACTGCTTAATGGAATTAACCCAATTCCTACCATGTGCTTCCTGGCTCGTTACTCAGGATACCTGTTCACTAATTGTTCTCTGCTTCTGATCCCTTGTGCTTTCCTCCCCACATCATTCTCTTCTTCCACTCTGCAATTCTCTCCCTCATCAGCCCGTTCTCCCCCTGCAGTACTTGGGGTGAGATTGTAGGCTCTCGTCCTCCAGCCCAGTTAAGTGAGACCCCCCCCAAATCTGCATTCTACTTTGAAGGCAAATTGCCAATTTGCTCTTCACTCTGCAGTTAAAAGTTTCTCATTGAGCATCTAGTAGAACCTCCACAGCTGCTGGCTTCCATCGAGCGCCCACCTTCCTGGTGCAGGTCAAGCCCAATGTCCTTCTCTCTCTGGCCTTTCTAGTGCTGGTGTGCACCCTGACTTTCCACAAAATGAAGTTCTTTCTCCCACACCTCTCCCCAGTCCATCCTACATGTCTCCTGCCACAGATTGGAACTACTTCATGTTTCTTGCAGGCCCTCAGGTTCCAGATACAGGCTACCAAAGAGCAGAAGGTGCTGTGTTCTTGAGCAGACTTCTGCATTTCATCAGCTCCACTCATGAAGCACACTCTAACCGTAGTGGAGTAGAGCTTGGGCTATTCCAACCCCACACTGACAATCACAAGAGCATCCCAAAGCTCCCTAGTGAGCTAGACCATGCACAACAGAATGCAAGTCTGGAGGTGGAGCACCAAAGGTCATCATTAAGGTAGGAACTAAGCCTGAGTATCAATCATCAAAGCCTTAAGGACCAGTGCTGGCGGGTGCACCAAGATGTCCTTCCAGCATCCTCTGGACAAAGGCACAAAGAGGATTTAAGTTCCTTGAGTTGCACCTTTTCAATTTGTAAAGGCTGCACATGCTACCTACCTTGGGCTGTGCTCGGCGGGGGAATGCTACTTTTGGGTCGATCTGAAAGAGACATGGGAGAGGGAGAGCAGGTGAACATATAATACATGAAATGTAGGCAATTAAAGTAGGCTCTCCACAAACTTTGCTCAAGTGATAGTTTGCCAGACCCAAGGAAGACACCTAATGAGCATAAAGTAGACTGCAGACAACTTTATCTTCTAATAGAGGTGTGATCCCTGGAGACTACAGTTCCCAGCATGCAATGTTCCATCTGAATGTGAGCAGCAGCCGTTCAGCACAAGATGGAACACCACAGGCTGGGATTAGCAGTCTCTGTTAGCCAGTCCTCATTGTTCAGACTCCACCTTGACCACCCTGTACCAACAATGTCATATTAAAGTACTTTATTCTCCCCTTCACTCTGGCTAAGGGTACAGAGCTCACCTGGTTAATAGTGAAGCAGGAAACAGTCTGCACATAAAAAGCTAAGAACTTCAGCCCCAAAAGCATGGATTCACATGAGAAGGGAAGATGTGAACTAAACTGAAGAGTCCCAAGGACAGAAAGTTGCAATACAGACTCCTGTCATCAAATCACACAGTATACTGCTGCCCCTTCTGCAGGTTGTATGCTGTGCAATAAAAAGAATCAGTTCCAATCATCCTACTGTGCTAGATACGCCTATCTGTTTGGTGTATTACTAAACCTGCTGTCCACTAGAGTGCCTTTATCTCAGCACCAATATTCAGATGGTGCACATTCTGCTAGGGTCAGCAATGGATGAACGCATGGCTGCACTATTCTTACCACCACCACAACTTAAACTAGGAAAATACTAATGCACTGAAAACGAAACACCCACTATAATGCACACACAGCAACTCTTGTGATGTCACCTTTACATTAGAAATGATCCAAATCTACAAATGACCTTAGAGAGCCCTGTACTAAAGGAGGGTCTGTTCAGCCCACAGCTGGAAAGTCTGTAGCTAGGAGAGGAGCTGAGAAGTTTGTCCCATTAGCCCAGCAGCTCAAACAGCCCGCAAGGAAACTGCACCTCTCCAGCTCCTCTCACTGCTATTGTTCTACTTTCCAGCCTGGCTTTTCTCCCTTCGTTCATCCTTTCATTTGTCAGACAGAACCCAAAGCTCAGTACCTCTTCAGATCACTCCCCTCTGCCTTCCCACCTCCATCCTGATTCACAACCTAGAACATAAATAAACTCAGCGTATAAGTAAACAGAGGCAAAAGTGAAGAACATAAATAAACCTCCCCTTATGACCGCCAAACACAGCAACATACCCTCTTGGTGCCTCATAGGGACATCTGAGCACCTTTCCTTCTCCTCCCCCTTCCTCCCAATCCAATCCTCTGGCTTTCTGGCTAGTGCAGAAATCCTCAGTGAATTCTGAGGACAGAGGACGGCAGGAGACCAAGAGGCCGATGGCAGATAATAAGCAAAAACAATAATCTACTGTCTTTTAGTTCTCAGCCAGTGTCATTCAGCTCCTGCCAAGAAGATGCTTTCATACACAGCAAAGTTAAGCCCAGGCCTCATTTTTTCATTACCCTGAGCGTGATAAACTGGGTAGAGATAACGTATCCACCTGGCTAGAGGGGGCAGGCAGTAATTTCACAAATTCTTCTGCACAACTATCTACTGTTGCTGGTAAACTGAGGCCTAACCAACCAACTGCAGACACGTAACTGAAGGTGCACAGAGGAGAGAGCGTTCAATACAAGACTCAAGGTACTAAAAGGGGGCTATTCCTCAAGTACAGGAATTTTCATAATTAAAGGAGAAGTGGTGGTAATCACTTCCTGTATCCCTGGTATTAAAGCCAATAATCTGGTTGAGTTTTACTTCACTGTCAGTCATGGATGTGATAAAGATTTGTACACAAGGAATTCAGAGTTCCTCAGATAATGTCCTAAAAAATGTAACCAGTATCTGATAGTGGTTAGGGGTGTTATTTAAATACTTGTCACTTTCATTTCACGTTACTAACCTTTAGGGACAAATTGTGCCCATGGTTATATCCATGGAATCCCACCGACCTCACAAGTGTAAACAAGGGCACAACTGGGCCCTTCATTACCACTTTTCAGGCCACGTAACACTGTTTAATTCCCATGTAAGCTCATATAACGACATTTAACTTGCTGACATCATTATCTGTGTTATCTATATCCATTAGCTGGGATCTGAAGCGATTCAAAAAAGCACAATTGTCATATCTCTAGTGCAAGCTTTGTTACATTTGTTAATAGTGAATCTGAACATGCCTACAGTACCCCTTTCACACACACACACAAATAAAAACAGCAAAAGCAAAAAAAACCCAAGCAAGAAAACCTCTAACACATCAATGTTTCTAGGGCACATAGAGAAACTGAAGGCAGCAGTCGTCTGCAGCTTTACAAAGGCACGCAAATCTTTTACCTTGAGACGGCAAAGCCAACTCTCATATCAAGCATTTCCATAAATAACCCCTGTAGGCTGCTATCTAGCTTACAAACAAAGAGAAGTCTGAAAGGCACAAGGTTTCCTCCAGAGAATCAGGCCAACAACATTAATTACAATAGAAAGAATCAGAAAACAATGAAGCAACAAGTTGGGCAGACATTATCTACCAAGTGCTGTTTACCGGGAGACACCAAAAACAGAGAATGGGGTGTAGTTACAGGACGCTGGGCCTTTTCCCACAAAGTTTTATAAAAGCCTAAGTTAGGATTCAGATGAGTTGGTGACATTTAGTCCATGACTAACAGCAGAGACTTTCAACTAAAGAGGGGGAAAAAAACAAAACAAAAAACCCCACACATCTAAGGCTCCAAACAGGACTACAAAATCAGCATGTTTTAGGGGAATTGAGAGCCACTGAACTGCACATATAGATCAGTCTTAGATCCTAATCCAGCAATTACCAGGCAACATACCCCAAAACATTCAGCCCAGATTTAAACTTTAAAAAGAGAGAGGAAAAAAAGAAAAAAAAATCCAAGTTCCTGACAAAGAAAGGACTTTAGAGAAACTGCCACCATTCTTCCTGCTTCCTCAGCATACAATCAGCAAGCCAGATGCATCAGAGAATTTCAATGGCTGGCCAGCCCCACATGTTCTTTACGCCACAAGTCCCTTCTCTTTTCCTTCAGCACACTTACCCATTCCACATCCCCTCCCTTTCCTGGGCCCACCCAGTGGATTGCAGAATTGCTTTAAGACCAGAAGCAGCATTAGTTTAGACAGGTAAGAATGGAGACCATAGATTGCATCTCACTTCTGTCCCAGAAATGCTCTTGGGATTGCTGCCACCATCAACATCCATCACTCACCTTTTGGTTAGTCTCTAAGGTGCCACAAGTACTCCTTTTCTTTTTGCGAATACAGACTAACACAGCTGTTACTCAGAAACTTTTCAAGAGTGAGCTAGGCCAGTCCCACAGATTCACCATCAGACCCCATGTTTATACGGACTATAAAATAAAACAAGCCTGCCCCCACCCCAAAACATTTAATCAGAATCCTCCCCCAAAGCTAAACTAACTTTACACCACTCTCACAAGAGGACGAGGTTTTTAAGACTCCTGGCAATCTGCACACTGCAGAGGCGGCTGGAATAGGTTTAACCAGGAGCTCCCACGGGGAGGAAGGTCCTGTATACATCAAAGGGAACGATCCATGCAGTTAAACAGGAACAGACATAAATCTTACCGCAGCTCATGCTGTAAGCCTCAAGAAAGGGTCTCTCTCTCTCCCGCTCTCTCTATTCAACTCAGATAAAGAATCTGATGCCTGAACTGCCTCACTAGACTTCAAGTTACACATGTGGACTTTTAATTAGTTCATGGCTGGAACTGGAACTTATTTTTTTCCCCATGTGCCCCCACCACTTGTATCCCCACCCCTGGGTCAATATTAAGCAAAAGAGGAATTTGACAACACAAAAGTCACTAAAACTACTCAGACAAAAGATCTCTAACACCCACTCCCCAAACACAGATCCTACATATCTCCCTGATGCCAAGGGCTTGCAGTGCAGGAACTGACAGTCTATGCTGAGAAACCCAATGATTCTTTAAAAAACTATCTACAAGTTCACAAAGTGGCTAGAACAGCTTGTAATTGCAAGAACGGATGTACCACCCTGGGGGATGGAGGCACCACTGATATCTCAAAGAGCAGAAGATGGCCCACAGAGGCACCTTCTGAGCACACTAGGAGACAATAAACTTCAGGAATTCATGGCCATTGCAAATTTGTATCCTGGGGAAGCCATAAGAGAGCATGAGGCAACAACTCCTCAACACAAAGGGATATGGGTCTATAACAGGGGTTCTCAAACTGGGGGTCATGACCTATTAGGGAGTTGCAAGGTAATTACATGGGGGGTTGCAAGCTGTCAGCCTCCACCCCAAAACCCTGCTTCACCTCCAGCATTTATAATAGTATTAAATATTTTTAAAAATGCGTTTTTGATTTATAAAGGGGGTCGCACTCAGAGGCTTGCTGTGTGAAGGGGGTCACCAATACAAAAGTTTGAGAACCACTGGTCTATAGCATCACCAGAGAGAACAGGCCTAGCTCTTTGTAAGGGTCAAGCGCCCATCATGGAGGGAAGGAGTACTTGTGGCACCTTAGAGACAAACCAATTTATTTGAGCATAAGCTTTCGTGAGCTACAGCAGAAAGCTTATGCTCAAATAAACTGGTTAGTCTCTAAGGTGCCACAAGTCCTCCTTTTCTTTTTACATGAGAGCGTGAGGCTCTGCATGTCCTCTCCACTTGCGGGGCAGTTGCTCCCATAGACACTGTTAGTTTCACATGGACACACTTTTTCTTGTGCAGTCCTGAATATATTCAGTCTTTTCAACTCACAAAGTGCCACCATCAGTTTCTCGAAAGGGATTCTTGCAATCAGTAGGCAGAATGAAAAATCATAACCTGGGATTCATAATCAATATTCAAACATTCACAAACCAATCCATACTTGGTCATCCACAGCTCAGAAGAACAGCCAGTTAGCAAACCATCACCAGGATGCAGAAGGGCAGGATAATTCTTTATCAATAATCAATAGTCTATAACCCCTCATTGGGAATCAAACACCACAATCAATCAGTGTTCTAAGCACTGAGGCTCAGTTGACAAATGAACCCCCTTAGATGGGAGAAGAAACCTCACCGTCTTGGAGTCCAGTTCATGTCTGGATTGGGCCAGAACCTTGTCCACACCGGCCTGGTCCATGAACGTGACGAACCCGAACCCCCTGCACCCCGAATCCCAGGCAGGAGATGGGGGGAGGAGCAAAGAAGAGAGAAAGTTGGTTAAAGTCGGGCCCGGCTCTGGCGAGGAGCAAAGGAGGAGCAGGGGCTGGTCTTCTCACCTGGATCTCTTTGTCAGCGGGTCCCGCATCACCAGACACTCCTTCACCTCCCCGAACTGGCTGAAGTATTCCCGCAAGCCCTCTGCAACCAAAACACAAGGCCATGGGCCCCTGCCTAGCGCCGGCCCCTCGGGGCTCCCTCCCCACCGCGCCGCCCCGCCCGGCCCACGGAGAAAGCGCCCCAGGCCCGGAGCCGACCCCTGGTGGCGAAGAGCGACGCGCCCCCCACACGCGCGTTCGGGGGCGGCCGCGGCTCCCCCCCCTTCCCCGGGAAGAGGCATCCAGGGAGCCCTACAGAGCGGATTCCCCCCCCGGAATAACAGCCCGGGCCGGGCGGAGCAGAGCCCCGACCCCGCTCCGCCCGGGGAGTTGGGAAAGTTTGGGTGGCAGGTGCCCGGTCCGGAGCTCGGCCGGGGCCCGCGGGGGAGTGGGAGCGCCGCGGGAAGCGGCCCCTGCCCGGCGGGCCTCACCTTGCGTGGTTTGCCAGCTCAGTCCCCCGATGAACATTTTGCTGCGGGAGACACAAAAAGAGCCGTGAATGGAGCGCGGCGGGCCGGGGGGCGGCCGGCGGGCCGGGGCGGGCCGCCCGGCGGCGGGAGGGGAGCAGCGCGGGGGCAGCAGGCGGGGCGGGCTGCCCGGCTCCAGCGGGGGAGCGGACCCGGCGCGCCGCGGATGCGGGACGAGCTGCCCAGGCTGGGCGGGGAGGGGGGACCCTGCGCGGCCCCCGGGGGGGCGGGGCGGGCTGCCGGGTGCCGGGGTCAGCGCGTGGCCTTATGCCCGGCTCGGGGCGGGGGGGCTCGGGTCCGGACTCCGGCGGCGGCCGGCGGCGGGGCGAGCTCGCAGGGATCGGCCATGTTGGCAGCGGCCGCCGCCACCGCCGAGCCTGTCCGGGCCACGAGCTCGCGGGGAGCTGGCTGGAGCCGGCGGGAGAGGCGCGCTGCCGGCCCCGGCTCCCGCCCCCCGCCGCGGCGGGCGGAGCGGTACCAGGGATCGTGCGGGGAGTCCGGGGAGGCGAGGCCGGGCTGGCTGGCTTCTGTCTCCATTCGGACCTCTTCTCCCTGCGAGGCGCAGAGCCGCACTCCCGGGGCAGATGAGCGCTGGAAAAGGGGCCGGACGGACAGGCCATGCTGCCCCCTCCCCCGACCCCTCTCAGCCAGGCGGGGAGGGAGGGAGGAGGGCCCGGCGGGGACAACCTGCCCGGCTCCTCCCACCCCCGGCGGGCGGGCAGCCGGCGTGCGCATAAAACCCGGCCGGCTGCTGCCTGCCTGGCCGCCTGCACCGGGGGGACGGCAGCGAGCGGGGCTCGGGCAGAGCCGCGCCCAGGCCAGGCAAGTACAGCGGAGTCGACCCGTCCGCGGCTGGTACCGCCCAGGAGAAGAGCAGGGACGGGAGCCGCGGTGTGCGCGCCCCACCTGGCCCCCGTCTCCAGCCCCGGGGGAGGGAGCCTGTAGCCGGCGCCCGGAGGATTCTCACCTGGCTCGCCATGGAGGGGCTGCTGGGGCTCACGCAGCGTGGTGCGCGCAGCTAGAAACAAAGGGGGCCTGGAGCTGGCCCCGGGAAGCTTGTGCTGAGTCGCGTCTGGCTTTGGCGTGCTACCGTGCGGGTCTCCGCTGCTCTGGGGGACCGGGCAGCGCGTCCTAGAGCGGTGGAGCGGAGCTATTTCTGCCAAGAAAGCCGCGTAACAAGCTCCCAAGTGCTGGCTGCAGTTGGGGCTGTTCAAACGTGCGGGCTTAAAACGGGGCTGGAGCGGCCTAACTTTAGGCACTCACGTTTGAAAACATGGCACCGTGCGGCACAAAAGGAAAGCGCGCTGTGAAAGCCCCCGAGAGGCTTCTGTGGAGAGCCCTGCAGCCCCGCTGGCTCAGATGCGCGTCCGGGTTTAGCTTTGTTAGTCTGCCTAAAACTTGGCTTTGCGCTTCTTTCACTTACCCTGAATGGAGGCCAAATGCCCCCGTGAGCTTGAGTGGGGCAGGAATGTGAGCCATACTCCTCTCCAGGGCTGCCTTGCACACCTGGGACATCACCTCCAGCCTGATCCACCAGGGCACAGAGGAGAAGTTTGGTCTGAGAGGGTTAAATCAATTTGACAACAATAACAGGTATCCCAGACCTGAAGAAAAGCCCCCTGTAAGCTCAAAAGCTGGTTTCTTGCACCTACAGAAGTTGATCCAATAAAAGATATTTCCTCAACTACCTTGTCTCTTTAATATCATGGGACCAACACTGCATACAGTAACATGTGACACAAACATAGCCTGAAGCAGGATCTGCGTGTTGTGGCATGTACCATATTTAAACAAGACTGCTTCTCTTCTCCCTCTCCCCCCCCCCCCGCTGTGGTACTCTTGCATAGCCCCAGTATCCCACAAGCATTAGCTAAAGCAGGGGTTCTCAACGTTTTTCTTACCCCTCCTTCACCCCCAACAAGCAATTAAAAACTCCACAGCCCATCTCTGCCACAACAACTGTTTTTCTGCATATAAAAGCTAGGAGGGAGCAAGCAGGGCAATTGCCCAGGGCCCCACACCACAGGGGCCCTGCAAAGCTAACTTGTTTAGGATTCAGCCTCAGGTGGCCAGGCTCAGGGCCCTGGGCTTCAGTGCCGTGTGGTGTGGGTTTGGCTTTCTGCCATGGGCCTCAGCAAGTGTAATGCTAGCTCAGCTTGGCAGACCCTCTGAAACCTGCTCGTGGCCCCCAGGGGGCCCCGGACCACTGGTTAAGAACCTCTGCACTAAATGATACCTTATATTGACTCCTCTCAATCCATGGGTAGCATTATCCCCATTTTACAGATAAGGGAAGGAGGCACAGATGTGAAGTGACTACCAAGGCCATAGTCAGGTTCAGGCAGAGCTGGTGCGTGAACTCAGGAATTCCTCACAGAGGCCTTTGCACAGTCCCTTAACCACACAGTCTCCTTAGTACATGCTTAGTAAGATTGATTAGCGATCTAACCCCCTTTCGATCACCAGAATGGAGACAGACTAGTGTAACTTTTTCCCCCTCAACATATTTTTTCTGTCTAGATTCATGTAACTTGTGCCCATCACTGTAGTACTTGTATCCTGATACTTTACTCAACTGTTATCACTATCCAACCAGATTCTGAGTGATCACCTCCCTTTAAAAGAGAAAGGGCACCTTCACCAGCCCCTATCATTACCAAGCAACTGTGATGACAGTAGAATCATTTTTTTAATTAGGTACAGTGGGCCAAGACGACAACAGCAGGGCTACATACTACAATGGATCGTCAGCTCAACTCCCGTTGATGACAGTGAGTGTTGTATAAAAACTGAGCGTAAAATACAACCGTAGTTTCCTTTTGCAGCTGCCTTTCTCAGAGGCACTGGAGCCTTGTTTCAGCTGCTGTGATAGTAGCCCAAATCACAGTGCAATTTTACATGGATTAAATTGGCATTTCTATCCATGTAAAACTGATCGGCCCATAGGGCACCAGCCTGACACTTATGCCATGTTCCAAATCTTCCTTACTACCAAACTAGTCTGTCCTGCATGTGTCCATGTACAGATACTTAGGGAAGCCAAGGGAGTGCACCCCCTAGTTCAACCCCAAACTGTACCAATGAAGTGCTAGTGTTGGGAGTTGGGAGTAGCTGAACTGCTAGATTATCCACCACGGACCTACAGTCAAAGAACACGTCTTACCTCTTCCCAGCCACAGCTCTGTGCATGTCACTTGGAAATGGAACATTCACTCAGATTACATAACGGACATTGGGCCAAAATGCCCAATATATCTGCTATGTCATGCAATATGCAAGTTAAACATTTATTATACTCATTCTTCTCTCCAGTTTATCCAGAATGGGCTTCCGTTTTATTTTCTGATTCCCCATTGTGCCATGCTGCCTGGTTAGGAATGGTAAGATAGATATCAAGAAACTCCCATTCATCCTTGACCTTTTATCAGTTTTATTTCCCAGTCTCCCATCCCCTACAGTAATCTCAATACTGTACCTCAGCTGCAACCAGGAGAATAGACAAGCACTTTTTTCCCCACACACTAAGATTGCTGGGGCAGGCACTATTTCTTACTGCATGTTTGTACAGCACCTAGCACAATATGGCTCAGATCCTGAGTGGGGCCTGTGGGTACAACCACAATACAAATACAAAAGTGTAATTGCTAATATTGCTGCTAGGCCTGGTACAGGTTGCTGCAGTGACCAGGCCTATCCATTACCCTTGGATATTTTTCAGTGCCCATCCTCTTAAATCTGGTGACATGTCCGCAAAATCTGCAGAACTGGGCAAAAATCTCAGCAGAAGTTGCCAGCAGTTTCTTTGACCCTTTGCTATACATTGACCCTAATCATTATGTACAGTAATGTTAAAAAGCGAAGACTTTGTAACCATTTCTTGGGAAATCAGTTACATAGTATGAGCTCAAGCTGCTAAGTATCCTAAACTCCCATGGGTGTCAATGGGAGGTGAATGTGCACACTACCTCACAGGATGAGCTGCTTCTATACAACAACACAATAATTCCAAACTGTGTTCCACACACACAAATAGCAAAATCCTCTGGTTTGTCATCAATGTATATCTGCAAATTACCATTCTTTCCATCCATTATAATATATTTTTATTTAAGAGATGGCTAGATAAAGGATGCCACACTGGAAGACCCAGACAGCGTTAAATATTACATTGTGTTATTGTTGTGTTACTCATGTTTTACTCCCTCTTCCCCATCAAAATAATGTGGGAGAAGGGAAAGAGGGTATTTGATTAATGTGGGTTAATGTCTGTGGGCCTCAGAGAAGGAGTGAGTGCTTAGGAGAACATAATGGCCATAATGGGTTTGACCAATGGTCCATCTAGCCCAGTATCCTGTCTTCTGACAGTGGCCAATGCCAGGTGCTTCAGAGGAAATGACCAGAACAGGCAATCATCAAGTGATCCACTCGAACTTCTGGCAAGGGCTAGGGACACCCAGAGTATAGGGTTGCATTCCTACCTATCTTGGCTAATAGCCATTTATAGACCTTTCCTTTATGAACTCTGAAGCACAGGCAGATAGATATTTGAGTTATTCACAAAGGGACGCAGGACCCAGAAATTGAAGGATGAGGGAGGAATAGAGTAGCAGAGACTTTTTTCCTCCTCCATCATTGCAGGAAGCTGAAAGAGACAGCGTTTTGGAGATCCATCTCTTCACAGGAGGTGGGAGGCTCCAGCAGAGGGGTAAAGGGAAGAGCCCTTGCTTTAAATTTCATTTGGCCAGTTAATAAAAAAGCTTGAATGTGAATCCAAATAATTTTTGTAATATTTGTTTTAAGATAGTGAACATGTAAACCTGGAAAATATTAACCGCGGCTTTTTAGCCAGCCTGGGGGCAATACCAGTCTGCTGACAGTGGCTTCCAGTTATGCTCACGCCTGCTTTGGAAATGATGCTTGCTCTCTGGAGAGAATGATGGTAGACACTCCCTGCTGGCCAGTATATGAGGCATACAACTGGTGTCTGCCTCAAAGGAAACTGCCTGGCCATTCTCCTACATGGTGGAAACTGACTTGAGGCAAGTGGTTTAGGTATGTAAAGGCAAAATTAATTAACTAGAATGAAGGGATGAAAAGGAGCCCTAGGCTCTCAAACACTACAGTTATGGGGGCCCTATAAGCACCTAGATAAATAGAATTTGGACCTGGTTCATGTTTGGGCATCAACAACAGTAAAACAGAACAGCTGAAAAAGCAAAAAACTTTCCTCTGTTGCAATACAACCCATTAAATAGGGTTAGATTATTATAAAATAGGTTATATGCTGTAGAGCATTTGAAAAAAGAGGAAGAGAATGCACAAAAGGAATAGGGATTTGGATGCAAGACTGAAAGAGTGGGAGAGGAGAAATGCAATGATGAATAAGAAAGAATGGGACAAAGAAGGAATATGAAAGCTTAAAGGGGCCATGACTAGTAAGTAAAGTGTGGATGAAAGAATCATGGCAACAGGAAAAGGGGGAGAATACATCAAATGATGCAAGAAAGCAAGAGTGGACAGGACTGGGGCCCTGGCACCACAAGGGAAAGAAGGTCTGATGTGGGAGGGAAAGCAAGAGCTTTATGATTTCGGTAACAAAAAAGGGGAGTTTGTACTGAGCAGACTAGTAACGAGTAGGGAGTTCAAGGTTAGAGAACAAAGAGGAAGGGAATTTTGAAGGACACAAAGGGAGTTTTGTGTAAGGGGACTGCAGTGCACCATCTGCTGTCCTGGAGGTGAAATAGAAGATGGCCCGAGAATAGTTCAGAAAGACCTTTCCATCATTCACCCAACTCACAGACTCATGTAATTATTATCTGGCACCCAGTCTATATGATGAAAAACTCTTCAAGTGTAGCTCAGACTAATAGAATCATAGAATATCAGAGTTGGAAGGGACTCAGGAGATCTAGTCCAACCCCTGCTCAAAGCAGGACCAATCCCCAGTTTTTGTTTGCCCCAGATCCCTAAATGGCCCCCTCAAGGATTGAACTCACAACCCTGGGTTTAACAGGCCAACGCTCAAACCACTGAGCTATCCCTCCCCCTACATGATGTAAATGGAGGAAACTGTAAATATAAAGCCTAGGCTAACTGAGTTGTTTCACAAAAAGAAAAGGAGGACTTGTGGCACCTTAGAGACTAACCAATTTATTTGAGCATAAGCTTTCGTGATGAAGTGAGCTGTAGCTCATGAAAGCTTATGCTCAGATAAATTG